TATCTAAGATATTTGGGCTTATCTAGATTTTATTTTTTTTCTCTCCAAGGTTAAATGCATAAACTCCAAGAGAGTAGAGATTCTTTAGTGCCTAGAATAGTGCCTTCCGTGTGGAGGCCCCCTATAATGTATTGACATAATCAACTTATTTTTGTTCTCTTATTTATTAATATTTCAAATATACATATAAAATGCTTAACAGCTTAAGTATACATATATTTTMCATTGTGAACAATTTATTCAGAGATTTCAAAATATCATAATTAATTTTATCAAATATTACTCCTTAAATATTCAATTAAATATATTTGGCACTTTTTTTTTTTGCACAAGGAGTTACTTAGTATATTGTTTAATTTCCAAAATTGCTTTTCCTTTGTTTTTAGCTATGTAGAAATCCTAAGAACTCTTAAATAGAATAAGTGCATCAGAATTCGGGGACAAGTCCAGAAAAGACCAAGTTAGCAAATTCTATAATACCATACTATTTACCATATATGCTATTTTAATAAACCTAAGCGATGATATTAGTAACCTCCTTCTCATCTTATTTGTCATCTGTCAGAAACTAAAAATACTATTGTATTTCCATCCATTTTTCTTGGTTTGTTTTCTTGGATTGTTCTGCTTCATAAATTTTAATCCATAAAATATCTAGGGCATAAATTTCATTACAGCTCTACCTTCATTGTATGATAAACCTTTAACACATAGAAGAGATCTTCTTCTCTAAGTTAATGCTCGAGTTTAATATTGTCACTGGCCTCTGTTTTTCTTGTACCTGTGTTTTCCTGTAGTAGAAGATAGTTTTGTTTCTTTTGGGTACTAGGGATTGAATCCAGGGACCCACTGATCTACAATCCCAGCTCTTTTTATTTTTATTCTGAGACAGAGTCTTGCTAAGTTGCTTAGGGTCTAACTAAATTGCTGAGATTGGCTTTAAACTTGAGGTCCTCCTGCCTCAGCCTCCTATGCTGCTGGGATTACAGGCATACACCACCATACCCAGCTTATTTTGTTTTTAATCCTAAAAGGTTTGGGTGTTTTTTTTTAATAGCTGGGTCTAGCTGACTTATGTTTTTGTTGTAATTATATAATGAGTTCCACAACTGATGTGGCCTTTTTCATTGTTATTGGTGGAATTTTGACTATTTACATATTATTGAAATTATATTTTATTATATCAATTTAAAAATTATTTGACTCATTTATGAAAAAAAATTAAAACTCTTGTAAGTGCAAGAATTTTACAATTCTTCGAATCTTGTTCTTAACTACTGGTATTTGTTAACACAGACTAAAACCATAACATCAACATATTAGGTTAATTTGGTACAAACCTAAAATTTTTTATTTGAAATGTGGGTTAAGACGGATTTTTCTAGTAGTAATTTAAAATCCAGAGGACATTTTTAAAAGATTGATAATGATCTATAATGTTGCCTTTCATGTAAAAAAAAGTGTAAAAAATGTATACTTATCAGCTCACTCATGCAAAAAAAGAAGTCTATATATTTATTTAATATGGTTAACCTGCACTTTAGAAGTATAACAACTTCTATTCCAAGCAATATGGATTAATGACCCTCTTGAAAAAAATAAATTCTAAAATTACTTAGAGGCTAGATAAAATGCATTTTAGAAATACTTAAAAATATCCCTAATCTGAGGCATATGAAAGGAATCCACAAAATTCTAAAAGCAAGTAAATAAAAGAACTCTATAAGGTAGCCAAACCTCGAGGCTGGTGTTTCTTGAGGGTATGAACCAGTTCACAGACACACATTGATCCTCCCCACAGAGTCTCCCTGGTAGGTAGGAGACAAGAGAGAAACTGGGACCTTTCTATGCAGGAAGTCTCCTCGGAGACACCAGCACAAGACCAGGGAAGGAAAGGGACACCCCCTTAGCTTCAGCAAAGGATAAACACGCTTACCACTGCAAAGCAATGCAAGGAAACAATACGATCTTGATATCAGTACTAGAAGGAAAATAAAAATCTCCTCGGGGAAATTTAAAATTATGCATCATGTTGATTCAAGACTTAAATATATACCACTTTTAATCTGAAAAAAATCTCCACCAGATCATTTAAAATGTTTCTAGATGCTATCTTCAGTGACTAGTAGAAACAAAAAGTAGAAACAAATGTATCTAACACTGGAATGAAGCAGAATGGAACTTCAAAGCCAAGTATCCATTTAAAAAGCTCAAGGAAGAACATGTTTGGGGGYGGGGGGACTGAGATTGATTGAGATTGATTGATTAATTACAGGGCTTGGTGGCACACTGCTCCAGAAACTGAGGCAGGAAGATTGCAAGTTCAAAGCCAACCTCAGCAATAGCGAGGTGCTAAGCAACTCAATGAGACCTGTCTCTAAATAAAATACAAAATAGGCTGGAGATGTGGCTCAGGGATTAATTCAATCCCTGTCACCAAAAAAAAAAAAAAAAAAAAGAAAGAGAGAGAGAGAGAAAAAAAGAAAAGAAAGTAAAGATAAAGGAATAAAGGGGGTGGGTAGAGATGAGGAGAGAGAGGGAGGGATAGAGAAAGACCATGAAACACATGAGCAAATAACATACCATGCATACAAGGAGAAAGAAATGAAGGCAAAAAACTGTAACTTGGAAGAAATATGACAGAGATACCGTTAATATACTTCAAAAACTAAAATTCCAAGAAGCAGAGGAAAGCTTGAAAATATATCTAGGGAATATAAAAGCTATGATGGATGAACTGCAACAAATCACAACAAACACAATCCCTTTGAGAGTCAGTTTCCAAGATACAATTCACCCACCCGAACTCTACCAAAAGCATATCTCAAGAGAGTGCAAGAAATAAAGATATATTTAGACAGATAGGAGGAAGAGACTTCCTCCCAGCAGACATCTCTGAGGGGTGTTCTACAGGACCAGCTCCTGATCAAAGAAGGACGGGCTGAGAAGGGAGCTGCCCTGCACCAGCAGGCTCATTTTCATGGCTCTCACCAGGCCTGTGAGGTGAACAAGTAGGGTCTCAGAGTTCAAGGTCCAGATTTAGCAAAGAAAAAAAAAAAAAAAAAAAAAAGATGAGTTTTGTCTCACCTGTCCACCCTGATCTGAAGAAGGGCTGATTCAAGGGAGACAGCATAGGCAGCCCTGCAGGCCATCTCAGAAAGAGTAGTAAGACATGAAGGCCCATGATGTCAGTGAGTCAATCGTAAAAATAATGGAAAATTGTATAATTTTCTAAGAGGAATTCTTAAATAAGCCAGGCACAGAAAGACAAGGTCTGTATGGTCTCCCAAGGACTCTCCAAGAGCTGACCTCCAAGAAGTTGAGAGCAGAACAGTGGTTCTCAGAGGATGAGAGTGATGCAGGGAGAGGCTGACCAGGGGAACTAAGTGGGACAGGGTAAGATACAGCAGGGTGACTGCAGAGAAGGACACATACTCCAAAAGCCAAAAAAAAAAAAAAAAGATTTTGAATACTTTCACCAAAAAAGGGTGATAAAGGTTTGAGAAGACATATTTAACTTGATTTAAACATTACATAATGTATACACGTATTGAAACATCACATGGTACCTCATTAATAGCTTTAGTTTCATGTCTTTATGCACCTGTTAAAATAAATTTAATTTGAATTATAAAAATTTTTGAAATAAATTTTTAACAGGGAAGAGTAATATCCACTTGTTGCTTTTGTAGGTTAGCCACTTTAAAATACTACTGCTGTCTAAAATACAGGTTAGTGCTTGGAAGTGGTAGTAAATCTGAGTAATACAATTTAATAAATGTTCTTGTCCACTGCTTCTGTGAAAGGCTCCCAGAGAGGTGCTAGAGGAATGATAACATTGGCTCGCAGAGGTCCTTGCCCTACAGAATCTTTGAATCCTGTAGGATAAAAAGCTTTAGGAAGCTATTATAATACCAGGGGAAGCAATGGTTGTGGAATGAAGAACTACAAGTTAATTCAATCAGCTCATACATTTTATGCAATTACTTTCACTCTTTGTATTTTTTAATGTAAATTTTTAAATTTATATATGACAGCAGAAAGCATTACAATTCTTATTACACATATAGAGCACAATTTTTCATATCTCTGGTTGTATACATAGTATATTCACTCTTTGTATTATTATATTACTCAAAATTATTATTAGAGATCTTAGTACACTATCTTCTCTACTTCTATATACATGTTACATGTCAATGGTATTTTGATTATTTGAGAATGCAGGTATATTCATTTCAAAAATTCATCCCAAATCTCAAATAGCAGTGCCTACCATATAAGAAATACACAGTAAATGTCCAATAAATTTATAAGTGCATTTTAAACTGAAAACAAAAGCATTATTGACTAAGATTATGCTAAAATGTTAAGTACCTGATTTTAAGGTACTTAAAAATCAAATACCAGTGACTAAACATCTTGAGATGCTTTTGAGAGTGCCTGTGTGARTTGCATTTGACAGTGGGCTGTTTTCCACCTAAAGAAGAGCAGAGATTCAGAGGAGCCACAGCTGAGACTCACTCCTCAAGGGCTGAATGCCCTGAAGCACAGCCACAGCCACTCAGACCCAGACCAGGAGCTTCTTCCTGTGCTCTTACAGAGCTGTCTTTTACCCCGTAGACACCACACAGACCATGTTCAACTTCTGCTCCCATTTTATTCCAYTGTGGACCATGAATGCCAAGGGCACAGGCCCTCTTGTATGGCACCATAGCCCACAATGCTGAAATGACTTTTGTATAAAACACAAATTCTTTACAAGGTCATGCATGATATAGGACACTACAAGGCAAAAACTGATACATAAGTACATTAATTAATTTCAAGATTTTATGAATAATATCATGTCATTCTTGACTGATACTAACCACATTAATAATTAAAATATGATTGTTTTAATACTTAATTATGACATGTCTGTTGTTTGTAATATAATAGTTTTTAATAAAGAGCTTATGATATCATCTAGAGCACCAAAATTTAATATAGATACTTACATTATTGCACTCTCCAAGGAAATACAGTGCAAATCCATCAGCTTTTGTGGCTGCCAAAGTAATAAAAAAGGAAGAAACTAATCTCAGTGGAAGAATATAACATGTATGAATTCTCTATAGTGTGACTCAGATGTGAGCCTGTTGAGTGGATCTGTTAACATGACCAGTGTCATGCACTGAAGGGACAAAGCCATATATGGCTTCACTCAATAACAGGTTATCTCCACATACTCCTCATCAGTGACTGCAACACTAAGTGACATCTTCAAATGCATACAGCAGGCAACATGTTGAAATAATGTACTTTGAACTTTAAATGTTGAACTTTAAATATTCAGAAATTTCCACAGAACACTTTTTAAATTCAAAAATTGTATTTAATTTTTAAAGTATTATAAATACTAATGGTGAGAGTCATAATACTGAATTACTGAAATAAGCATCAACCAAAAGGGGTGTACACATCTACATATCCACTGACATGAACATAATAGATCTAAAATCGCTTCATGTCATCTGAAGCAATCACCACAGCAAGGAATAGCATTAAGTCTTTCAGGGACTGCCTAATTCTTTTTTTTTTTTTTTTTTTTTTTTTGGTTCTGGGGATTGAACTACTCAGGGGCTCTCGACCACTGAACCATATCCCAGCTCTATTTTGTATTTTATTTAGAGACAGGGTCTCACTGAGTTGCTTAGCATTTCACTTTTGCTGAGGCTGTATTTGAACTCACCATCGTGTCTCACCCTCTGGACCTCTGGGATTACAGACATGTGTCACCACACCCATCAGTTCAGGGATGGCCTAAATTTAAACCCTCTATTTAACTCCTTTTTATCTCTGTGTCTTTGGGAAAAACACCTAAATTCTGTCCCATGGCTTCTTCATTAGGAGAATGGGGATAAGAACAGAAATGACCTCATGAGGCGATCATGAGAACCAAAGTTTGTGCATGGAGTCTGCATGGGGAGATGCCTGACACAGGGTTAAGTCTGATAAACATTACTATTATTACRTCATCAGCATTCTCACTTCCAAATAAAACTCAAAAGATTCAATTTTCATAGTGGGTATCCTAAAAAGCCATGTCCTAAAAAAAGTGCACCCTTCTAAAATCTTACTTTTCTGATACAACTTCCCCATTCATTCCCAAAGTAAACCACTGATTATCTAGGACATACCCAAATAAATTTAAAATGCTTGTTTCCTTTAAAAATTAGTGGTTTCCTTTATAAATGYGTCACTTAGTTCAATAAACAATACTTTCCAAAGAAAGCTTGGTATTAATTAAAATCATAGTATATTTAATTCATGCATCAGGTAGATACTTATTTGAAATCAGATGATTTAGGAATTTTTTAGGCTTGATGTTTCATAATAGAATATTTTCATTACTTAGTCCGGTATAAAAGCAAATGAATGACTTTCATCACTCTTTTAGTTATTTTTCTGCCAGTTTTGATTATGTAAGAAAAGAATATTTGGTCAAATTTGGTCAAAATTTCCCCAGAGAATATAAAATATTTCTTACCTATTTTGATTATGCTACTCAATTCATAGAGGAGCAACTGGTTGTCTCCTCCTGTGTCCAACCGCTGTTCAATATAGCTGTTCAGTTCATAGACGACTCCCTGCATATTTGTATCTTGGTACTTTGAATAAAACATAACAAAAATAAAGGGAATAGTTTAATGTCAAATTATAACCTCATTTCTGAATTTTTATAAATATCAGCAACTTGATTAGTAAAATAATACAACAGTTTGCTCAGCAAGACAGAGTAATATGCTAGGACATCTCTCCACAGGCACTGCACTGGGAGACTCAATGCCCCACCCCTGGCTCCCTTCTCTGTGGCTCAGGACAGGAGTGGAAGGTTTGCACTGTGACTGTGGTCACTGCAGCAGCCCACAGCAAAGCCATAGCCCCAAACTGTAGTAGAACTTTCCTGTAGTGGTTACAGGGAAAAGCCACCCTTACTCTGCAGCAAGCTACACTCTTTCTTCTCTAAGATAATGAAAAATACTGTCTTCTCATTCACCTCCTTGATGCTAAGCTTCCCTTACTAAACCCCATTCTCCAAGTAACAAACATTATAAACTTTAAAAATTAAATAAAATTCGGTTACCCTTTGGCTTAAAATACTCCTAGGACTTCTCTTTGCGCTGGAGAGAACAGATGGATTCCTCTCATGATGGACTCCTACACCACAAAATGTGGTCACTGTCTACCTCCAAAGCTTCCTTCTTAACTCCTCATTCTCCTCTCTGCCCTCAGTCTCAGGCGTGGCCACCTCCCTGTTCCTGGAGTATTCAGACACCTCTCACTCCCAAAGGTCTCCTACTTGCTCACTCCCAAAGGTCTCCTACTTGCTATCACTAGCACCGTGCTCAATACACATCTGTGGAGTGAACAAATGAATAATACTAATCAGTCAATCACCTGACAAGTGACCATGTATTAGAGTAGCCACTCTGTTAGACACTAGAGACCTCACAGAGTGGACAAGACCAAAGTTCTGTCCTCTAGGAGTAGGAAGAATTCAATAAGTAAATAAATATATTCTAGTAGGAAGAATATCAATAAGTAAATAAAGCAATTTTTATACAGATGCACAGTGGAGATGTGGAGTCCAGTATGTTAGCACTAGGCTGGCTGAAATCTGTTCCCCGAGCGGGCTATACTAAATCAACTTGAAATGCCAGAACTGCCCTAAGTTCAAAGACTTAGCAAAATGAGAATAACATTCAACTTACCATTGTCTAGTTACATCCTACAGAAGCCCCTCACTAAAGCTCGATACACATAAAGAGCCCTATGGTGGGAACCAGGAATTAATGTGGGAACTGCTACTATCCATGCATATTCCCCAAATATACCACTATGGGTTCTTGTCGAGGCAGGGGCTCAGTAGTAGCACTTCATGCCCAGAGACAAGGTGAGATATTGACACACCAGATGGAAACGAACTGGTCAAATGCTTTGACCAGGAGAGATCTTTAGTATTAGCTACTTGATCATGGTGTCCCTGAAACTCAACAGGTCACCCAACTAAGGTTTTGGGTTATTTTTGTTTTTTTCCTTTGTCMTCCAAGAAAAGTTCTGGCTTAAGTGAAGGAAAATCTAACGTGATGAGCACAAGAGAAAGTCAGAATACCTCAACGAAGTCCCAGAACTGAGTCAATGCATAGACTGGAAAGCTTGAATCAAGAAAGGTCTACTTGAAGAAGGATCTTGATAGATAGCCAAAATGTACAAAGCAGATCTTCCTCCTACCTTCCTCAAAGAGACCTGTAACCATCTGCCTGGGTAGTCAGTGGGGTGGGGGAATCACTGGATGCTGGCTTCATGCTAATACTAAGTCTTGAGACACCCAATGCCACCCACTGTAGTATACCACTCAGAGGGGCTTACAGAGATCAGAGGATCAATGGACTTTTAACTTATGTCCATCTCAAAAGTGAGCCCCAATGGTTTCTTATCACCCTGTGATGACCACATTTTGGTAATACACACTGAAGAATCTTGACATAGAAATAGAGTAAAAAAGCGAAATTTATAGAAGTCTGGGATAAAGCTTCCCAAGTATAGAGAAAAACATAAATAAATATGATCAAAAAGCAGCAAAATAGAAACCTTCCAAGCAACTCCAGTGCTCCATAACCAACTTCAGAAGTCAATGCCACCCTACTGGGCTCTCACCTSTGGGTGCCACTCCTTGCATCCCTAAGCCCAGGCCTCTCAGGCTTGTGCGCTCTGCTCCCACATCAGCTGCATTTCTCTGCTGTGCTGTGTGCAGCATCCAGAGGTTAGTCTGCCTTCCCTTAGCCTTGTGGATGCTGCCTGCTTTGTTGGACATTATCATGATAAATTACCGGTCCTGGATAAGTTCTGTGATTTTTTATTGCTGAAACTTTATTTTGCTAACAGTTAGCCATAACTTTTCAGTTATTGGCTACCTTTAGACTTTTTCCAGGTCCTTGGCTTACAGAGGTACCAGTGTTATGGCAGACTCTACACCAAAATCACTGGTAATTCTGATGCCTCTATCCAGCACTGTGTGTGGTCCCAAAAGCTCATGGTGCTTCCCCTGACATTCATAAACAAGATCTAAGTTTTGAAAAGTTCCAGATAAAATATTATACTTTAACATAACTCTATTCTCTACTCTCTTTTTTTTTTTTTTTTACCACTTATCAGAACTACTAGTTCTGTATTTTCCCCTAAAGTTCTTGGAAAGGACTCTTTTGAAGATGAAGCTAACCCAAAGGAAAGCTGAGCCAAGGGACCSAGAAAAAGTCATAATGCCAGACCTCGAACCTCTACATGCAGGCCTGCAGAAGTCTTCACACCTCAAAGTCYATCCCCAGCATTTCTTCTATAGGAACAAACACATTGTTCTCAGTGCCTTGATTTGCTTGTCAGGGAAGGGAGCTTTAGCTAGTTTTAAGGTAGGCTATTAATCATTCAGCAATTGATATACAGGTTGGTCTGTCTCCAAAGTCTGACTAGATGATGATTCTGAGAATAAGCTGTTTAGTAATGTCCTGTAAGAGGAAGAGGTGCTGAGATCAATAACCAGCTGTTCTCTAACTCTTTTGGAAATAGGTTCTCACAAACAAATGAGAACAAGAAGACATTCTGGGATAYACAAATTTATCATGAGATTTCATTTCATGTTTCTGGGCTTTATGTTTTTTCATCTGTAGAAAAAGAAGGATGAATTACATTATCTTTAAAATCCTTTTCAGTACAAATTTTCTCTGATAATCAATGACCTGGGTTTTAACTTTTTATTTATATTAAGCTTCAAATTCTAATTTTTAACTGATTACAACAGCATAATTATTATAATAGTAAAATATTTTACTAAGATTATTATTCTATTGGATAAAATATTAATTCTCAAATATTAAAAGGCTAGTGAGTTATTCAAACCATAATATACTGTAATATATGAAAAAATTTTTTACATGCAAATGTGCAATGATAAGCATAATTATTGTAAATCATAACATTACTAATGGATATGTTGCTACTCATTRGTAATGTCATGAAAGGGAAGTCTGAGGAAACAGAGATGAATGTGAATCACACACTTCTAAGCTTCTCTCACTTACATACATGCTGCATACATTAAGGTGCATAATCTAGATACACATACAAGGGTACATAAACATGTATATGTGATTTTATGMTCATTTATTCATTTAGATATACACATACAGAAACTAAAAACCATGACTTCAATCTGATCACTCTGAATCCACCATCCATCCACCACATGAGTATTCTAGAATTTCTCATTTCCATATTTGTTATCATCTCACCCAACAGTTAAAAAATCTGGCTAACAATAAATAGCCTTAACATACTTACATAGTTTCTTGAGCCTCAGAAATACACAGAGACAGATTCAGAGTGGCTAAGCCAAACCACTGCAAGGAACAAAACTAACTGGATGTCAATATTTTTCATTTAGATAAAATTAACATCATAAGTTTACAAATCAGAAACAAAATTTACCTTATTTGACAAATGGGGAGTCCTTGTAATACATTTCCAATCAAAACAGAACAAACCATCCCTGCATAAAGTCCCTCCACTGCCCTTCCTAACCAGCCTCTGTCCCCAAGGTAGCCACTCTCTTTGGCTCTTTTCCACTCAGATTGTTAGTCCATTTATAAGATGGTGTGCAAGTGCCAGGAAACAGGTACTTGTTTGAACCTGCTTTATGTGCTGAGCAGGCCATCAGGGAGACCCCTCCACGCAGCTGGGTCTCTGTCCTGTGCTGCTCTCCCCTGCCACAGCCCTCTTTGGCATGAAGACACTGCACACTGCTGGTCTGTCCTGCTGCTGCTGGAGAGTCCAGTGACTATTTCCAGGTTGGGGCTATTGAGTAAAGCTGTGATGAAGTCTTTTGTAAACATAAGTTTCAATTATCTTASGCAAACACAAGAGTAGAATTCCTGGGTCACAAGGTAAACATAGGTTTACATTTTCTTTGGAAGAAACTGCCAAACTTTTTAATCTAGACTTTTTAAGTATAGAGTCATCAGAATGATTTAGACATTTTATAGCCAAATAAATCATAAATAGGGACCATTTAAGTCACCCAAACATCATAGGCTGAAAAATCTCTACTTCTCTAAGCATGAACAATCATACAAACAATTTAAGAGATCTGTGAGATCTGGAGGCTCCGAAAGAAGAGCATGGGAACAGTACAGAGGATGACCCTGGCCCTTTCTAAATGCTTTTAAMAAAAGGAGATGGTCATCATTACACAAAATACATGTATGAAGATGTGAATTTGGTGTCAACATACCTTATATACAAACAGAGATATGATAAATTGTGCTATAAAGGTGTATTAAGAATTGTAATGCAAAAAGAAAAAAATAAGAGAGCTCATGTATAATGGCATAATTTGGTGTGAAAATACTTTATATACAGAGTTACGAAAAATGGTGATGTGAATGGATAATTATGAATGTAATGCTTCCACTATTGTCATGCATGTAAGAAATAATTTTTTTTTTTAAAAAGGGCTTTAAAATCCTAAATGGCAAACATAGGGTCAGTAGATATTCATCCTAAGCCCATTCCAGCATTACAAAGAGAAAAAGAAAGAGCACCTGACCTCAACCAT